GCTCCCAGGTGTACGTGCGGCGCGGGTACATCGCCTACGAGCTGAACAGCCTGCAGCACCGGCAGCTCTCGGATGGCACCTGCCTGGTAGAGTTCCAGTTCATGCTGCCCTCCTCCCACCCCAACAGGTATGGGCCCCCCCCCGCGCCTATTCTCGCTCCCCTGGACACGGTCCTTTTTGCAAAACTGTTGGGTTTTGTATCGTCTCCTCCGTGGGGACCCTCAGAGGGGGCTGCCCGCCGCGTGGAGCGGGTTGAGCCCTCTCCGGGTCAGGGCCCCGTGGGGGACCTGTGTGGTCCCTGTCGGACCCAGGGGCAGAGCCTCCGCCCCCCGCCGATGGCTGCCGTGCTCCCCCGTGCAGGATGTCCGTCCCCATCAGCGTCTCCAACCCCGACCTGGCCCGGCACAGCACCGAGCTCTTCATGGACAGTGGCTTTTCTCCCCTGAGCCAGCGGATGGGAGCTATGGTGGCCTTCGACAGATTTGAGGACTTCACGAGGTGGGGGTGCAGGGCACCTGCCCAGCTGGTCATGCACGTGCCTTTTCACAGAATCGGAATCCCAGAATCATCTGGGTTGGAAAAGCCCCTGCAGCATCTCCAGCCCCACCATGACCCTCCCCCTGACCGTTCCCAACTCCCCCAGACCCCTCAGCGCTGGCTCAGCCCGACTCTTCAACCCCCCCAGGGATCCCGGGGACTCCCCCCTGCCCTGGGCAGCCCATTCCAACGCCCAACAGCCCCTTCTGCACAGAAATCCTTCCTCAGAGCCAGCCTGACCCTGCCCTGGGCAGCTTGAGGCCATTCCCTCGGGGCCTGGCGCTTGTTTTGGGTGCAGCTGCAGTTGTTAGAGAGCAAAAGAGGGTGGAAGAGCCAAAGGTGGCAGCATGTGGGCAGCTCCTGCTCCAGCTGGAGGTTGGGGCTGGGTTATTTCAGGGTCACAGTTACCTGCTGGGGACGTGACCTCTTTTGGGGAGCCTGGGGGAAGCTGTCCCGCCATGGGTTAAGCATCTCTGCACGTTAACCCAGCAGCCCTCGGAGCTGTGTGTTTGAGCTGTGGCTTTGCTGTGGGCTGGCAGAGCCCGGCTGAGCTGGCACGTGCCCCTGGGCCACTGCGCTGGCACCTGTGGGTCCCTGGGACTGTCCCCTCGGGTGGGGGGGGGACACAATGCACTCACCTGTCACCCCATCCCCACCGTTTGGGCAGGAACTTCGATGAGGTGATCTCGTGCTTCACCAACCCGCCCTCGGAGAGCGTCCTCTTCAGTGAGCCGCGAGCCGCCGTCTACGAGGAGGAGGAGGCCAAGGTGGGCGCGAGGCTGCGGGCGGTGCCGGGACGGCAGCGGGGCTGCTGCTCGGGGTTCACTGCGGGGGTTTTGTTGCCAGAACGTCCACGAGGAGCCGATCCACATCCTCAACATCGCGCTGCGCTGGGCTGACCACGTGGAAGATGAGAAGCTGGTGCCCGTCTTCAGAGCCTTTGCCCAGTCCAAGGTCTGTGGCTGGGGCCAGACCCCCCCCTCCTGCAGACCCTGCAAGCCAGGCCGCCGTACCCCGAGGCGCTGCCTCATCTCCAGGCGGTGCCCCCCAAAAGCTGCGCCCCACAGCGGCCGCTCGGGTTGTTTGTCCCCTCGGTGGAGATGTTTATACTCTTGTGACCAGCTGAGTCTTCTCTTCCCACGTAGAAAAACATCCTCATGGACTGTGGCCTCCGCAGAATCACGTTTCTCATCGCCCAGCAGGTGAGTGCAGGCTGAGCCGCCCGCAGGCAGAGGGACCTCGGGCACATGGTGCTTCTGCCTCCCTAAACCAGCTGGAAACGTCTAGAAGTACCTTACAGATGTAGCACTGAGTGATGGAAGTACCTACAGCGCATCAGGAGTTGGGAATTAATTAATGAGGGATTCAATGAGCGATTTATTTCCGATATTATCCTTTATGCTGCCAATGTCTCCAGTAACGTCTGGTTCCTGTGTGGGTGCTCGATAGCTTTAAGCTGCCTTTAAAAGCTGTTGACTACTCCCAGCTCTTTTCCCTTTAGGGGAGGAGGAAGTCTGCAAGTTTGTTTTTTTTAATGAATTCACTGAAAATCGGAAAAATCCTCAGGATGATTCACACTGTGTTCTCTCTCTGTTTTGCTCTAGAGAGAATTCCCAAAGTTTTTCACGTTCAGAGCCAGGGACGAGGTAAGAGCCGTGGTCGGGGCAGAGCCCCCCCCCTGCCCGGGGGCTGGCTGCCCGCCCGCTCGCCCACCCCTCCCCGTGCTGCTCCAGTTCGCAGAGGATCGCATCTACCGGCACCTGGAGCCGGCGCTCGCCTTCCAGCTGGAGCTGAGCCGCATGCGCAACTTCGACCTGACGGCCATTCCCTGCGCCAACCACAAGATGCATCTCTACCTGGGGGCTGCCAAAGTGCAGGCGGGCGCCGAGGCCACCGACTGCCGCTTCTTCATCCGCGCCATCGTGCGCCACTCGGACCTCGTCACCAAGGCAAAGCGGCGCCGGGGTGTCCGTGTCCCCCCCACACACACACCCGGCCCTGGGGTTGGGAGGGTGGAGGTTTTGAGAGAGTTTTGGGTGCAGGGGTTGCTCCGGGCGCCTCTGAGCACCCTGTGGTTCACTGCAGGAGGCTTCCTTCGAGTACCTGCAGAGCGAGGGTGAGCGGCTGCTGCTGGAGGCGATGGATGAGCTGGAGGTGGCTTTCAGCAACACCGCCGTCCGCACCGACTGCAACCACATCTTCCTCAACTTCGTCCCGACGGTCATCATGGACCCCTCCAAGGTGCGTTTCTGGGTGTCCTGCTTCCCGCTGTCAGCGCGCTGCCGATCTGGGGGTGGAGGCTGCGTTATCCCCCGTGCTGGCTGTCAGCCCTGGTCCTGCCCAGTGCCCACCAGACGCTGGATGAGGGATGCATTTGACAGCCCCAGAGGCTCCTGCAGCTTAATTTCTGTGTCAGACCTTCACTGTGGGCTGTTTGCTGGGGGGCGGTGCTGAGATTTCACACTTTGCAATGATCAGGGCTTTTTGTACAGGCTTGGGCAAGCAGTTTGCTGGAGGGCAGGAGGGTGAGCAGCAGGCTCTTCCCCCAGGCCATGTGAGGTCTGAAGGAGTGAGGCTGTATCCCCTCAGGAGAGTATGAGGCACCGTATTTCCTTGTCCCCAGTGGAGAGGCTGGATGGTAGCACCAGGGGCTTGCCCCAAGCAAATCCGAAATGGCCATTTGGGGTAGAAACACAACGGGGCTGCTCCAGCCTTGGCTCAAGGACAGCATTGTCCCCGGGGCCATGGACCTGTCTGTGCCACCTCATGCCCAGATCGAGGAGTCGGTGCGGTCCATGGTGATGCGCTACGGCAGCCGCCTCTGGAAGCTGAGGGTCCTGCAGGCCGAGGTGAAGATCAACATCCGCCTGACGCCCACTGACGCCGCCATCCCCATCCGCCTCTTCCTCAGCACCGAGTCCGGGTACTACCTGGACATCAGCCTCTACAAGGAAGTGAGGGACCCCGGCACCGGCAGCGTGAGTAACCACAGGCGGCGGCTGCGGGCGGGAACCCAACCATGACTGCTTGTGTGAAGCTTCAGGGTGGTTTCGGCAAAAAATCCTCGAGCACCTGCAAGGCTGCTCTGTCCCAGAGCCCCCGGGACTGCAGCAGCATTCCCAGGGCTGGGCCAGTTTCACTCCCCTCTGTGCTGTGTCCAGTTGGGCACCTCAGGGTGATGTTTATGGCCTCAAGCTGCTCAGGGCAGGGTCAGGCTGGCTCTGAGGAAGGATTTCTGTGCAGAAGGGGCTGTTGGGCGTTGGAATGGGCTGCCCAGGGCAGGGGGGAGTCCCCGGGATCCCTGGAGGGGTTGAAGAGTCGGGCTGAGCCAGCGCTGAGGGGTCTGGGGGAGTTGGGAACGGTCAGGGGGAGGGTCATGGTGGGGCTGGAGGAGCTGCAGGGGCTTTTCCAGCTGAGATGACTCTGGGATTCTGTTTTGCTCCCCAGTGGTGCTGACCCCCAGGGGTGTTGCTGGTGTGTAGTCAGGCAGTTTTTGGCTTGAGAGGTGAAGGTCAGTGTTAGGGCATTACCGGTCCTTTCAGCGCAGTGGTGTTGCCCCCCATCCCCTCAATGGCAAAGAGCAGGGTGGAAAATCATGTTGTTTGGTCGAGAAGAGCCACAGGCAAAAGCATCTTGGCCAGGCAAAGCTCAGCAGTGCCTCAGCCCGGCGGGGCTCTCGCCCTGTAGCGTTGCGGAGAGGACTCGCCTGCCCGCCGAGGGACGGCAGCCAACACTCTGCGCTTGCCTCCAGATCATGTTTCAGTCGTACGGGGACAAGCAGGGGCTGCAGCACGGGATGCTCATCAACACTCCCTACGTCCCCAAGGACCTGCTCCAGGCCAAGCGGTTCCAGGCGCAGTCCTTGGGCACCACCTACGTGTATGATTTCCCCGAGATGATCAAGCAGGTGAGTCTGGCCGAGCAGAACGAAGCTCCAAATTATTGCAATCGCTTTTCCTCCCCACCCTCCCCAGGTATTCCCGTCTGGGGAAAAGGCTCCTCTCCCCTGAGCTGGCAAATGAGAAAAAGAAAAGAGCCCAAGCGCCAACATGTTGGGTTAGATGAACCGTTTCTAAACTGGTTCCTAGCTCTTGCAAATTGCCGTAGTTGCCCTCCTGGAGGATGTGAACCAGAAAGCTCCGTGTGAAGGAGGCCCGCAGCAGGGTGGAGGCTCTAACAGAAAGTTTTGCCCAGCCCGAGTCCCAGCCAGCTGCAGGAGCGTGTGTCTGCGCTCGGCAATAGCCTCGGCGCCGCCGCAGCCCTGTGCTTTCAGCTCCTCCTGCGCATGGTGTCTCTGCAGGCTCTCTTCAAGCTGTGGGGCTCCTCGGAGCTGTACCCCAAGGACGTCCTGACATACACCGAACTGGTGCTGGACTCGCAGGGGCAACTGGTGCAGATGAACAGGGTCCCTGGAGGGAACGAGGTACTGGGGGATAATTTAGGAACAAGGCGGGGCGAGGTGGGAGTGGCTGGTGGCTTCCCCGGCCTGGCCGTGTTTAACGCCCAGGGGATGCTCCTCAAGCCGGTGTTTTGTCTGTCACCTAATTCAGTCTCCAGCCTGACCCCATTTCCCTGGAGGAGCCCACCCCGTGACCCCATGCTGTTTTGGGGCAGGTGGGGATGGTTGCTTTCAAAATGAAGCTGAAGACCCCCGAGTATCCACAAGGCCGGGACATCGTGCTCATCTGCAACGACATCACGCACAGGATCGGCTCCTTCGGGCCGGAGGAGGACCTGGTCTTCCTGCGGGCCTCCGAGCTGGCGCGGGCCGAGGGCATCCCCCGCCTCTACATCGCTGCCAACAGCGGCGCCCGCATCGGCTTCGCCGACGAGATAAAGAACATGTTCCAGGTGGCCTGGGTGGACCCTGCCGACCCCTACAAGGTGTGTGAACACCTCCCCTCCTGCCATCACGGGAAACGACAGAGGACTTAATCTGGGCAAGGACGGATCACGGCTAAACTGGGACATAAAACGGTGGGATGGGTGCCGGGGGGTGAGCCCGTGCCCAGTGCTGTGGAGACGCTTCCCTCCGCTTTCCCCAGTGGCACGGAGAGAAAGGTGCCGGTGCTGGCGTGGCTGCTCTGCCCATCCCTGGTCCCCGATGCGTGGGGTGGGTTTGGAGAAGAGCTGCCTCCCACAGGAGGGTGTACGTGGGGGGGCTCCACTCCTCATCCTCCTCCTTCTCCTCCTTCTCCTCTTTTTTTTTTTTTTTTTTTCTACCTGACTCCCCAGGACTACACGAAGATCAGCGCCATGAACTCGGTGCACTGTGAGCACGTGGAGGAAGGGGGCGAGTCCAGGTGAGCTCTGCTCTCCCGGGGGGTGCGCAGAGCCAGGCCCTGCCCTAACCCTCGCCAGGATGCAGCTCCCACGTCCCGGCTCAGCATCCTGCTACGCGTCTCATGCAAGCGAGTGCTTCCCTCTGTCCTGCCCACGCCACCGTGGCTCTGCTTTCCCTGCAGGTACGTCCTCCTGGACATCATCGGGAAGGACAACGGGTTTGGGGTGGAAAACCTGAGAGCTGCTGGTACTATCGCCGGGGAGTCCTCTCGCGCTTACGATGAAATTGTGACCATCAGCATGGTACAGCCGTGGGCCCTTCCCCTGCTCCGCTCCCCCCCTCTCTCCTACTCACTTTTAAGGTCACCGCCGGGGGAATAACCGGGTACAACCACCGACCTGGTGCAGAGCCCTGCAGAGCATCGTCCTCCCGGTGCTCGCGGGCTCTGCTCCAGCTCTCGCCCCAGTAACCCCCCGTGTCCCCGTGCGTGTGCCCAGGTGACCTGTCGTGCCATCGGGATCGGCGCGTACCTGGTGAGGCTGGGCCAGCGCGTCATCCAGGTGGAGAACTCCCACATCATCCTCACCGGGGTCACGGCTCTCAATAAGGTACCGCGCTGCGGCGCTGTCCCTCATGCCGCTGCCTGCGTGGGCTCCTGCCCTGGCCCGCGGGAGCGGGTGGCAGTTCCCTGCGGGTCACCTCATGGAACCTGCTGGAGGAGCTGTAGGGGGGCTGCAGCCGTGCTCATCCCGCTGAGAACTGAGAGGACATGACCCCACGGGTCTGCGGGGGCCGGTTCATGGCGCATCGCTCCGGGGCGGGGTGGCAGAGCGGCCACGGGGGCTGTTCAGCTCCGGTCCTGGGGGCAGAACCCATTTCTAGGCAGAATCACAGCGGTTTGAGCTGATTTGAAACCTGCTGAGCTTAAACCAGTGCACTTGTGGGTCCCTTTAGGTGTCTAAAGCAGAGTCCTTTCATTTTGACATCACCCTGGTAGGCAGAGGTGGAAATTCAGCCTCAAACCAGACGGAATGTGCCCGTACAGAGGTTTGATTTAACAGAGAGGGATCTGTGTTTCTGTTAATGATCCTGCCTAGGTGTTGGGACGTGAAGTTTACACCTCCAATAACCAGCTGGGAGGCGTGCAGATCATGCACAACAACGGTGTTTCCCACGTCACCGTCCCCGATGACTTTGAAGGGGTCTACACCATCCTGCAGTGGCTCTCGTACATACCCAAGGTAGGAGGGTGCTGCGGGACGGCGGGCTGGGCCGTTACCCCGTACCTGCCTGCTGACCTGCCCTGTGGGCTCTCCCTTGTAGGATAACCGGAGCCCCGTGCCCATCACTGCCATAAGTGACCCCATCGAAAGGGAAATTGATTTTGTCCCTTCCAAAGTCCCCTACGACCCCAGGTGGATGCTGGCCGGGAGACCCCATCCGTGTAAGTGAGGGCAGCCTGAGACCTCTGCAGCAATGCCCCCAGATGCGTTGGGTGGCCACAAACCCCCCATTTGGCAACAAAAGGTGCTTCTTGCTGTGGGTGGGTGCGCAGGGAGCCCTTCCCACCGTTGTGCCTCTCGGCTTCTTCCTGTGCTCTGCAGCTCTCAAGGGGACGTGGCAGAGTGGCTTCTTCGACCAGGGCAGCTTCCTGGAGATCATGAGGCCGTGGGCTCAGACCGTTGTGGTTGGCAGAGCAAGGTACGGCCGGGAGCAGGGGATGGAGCCCGAGGGCGGAGAGCGAGCGCTCAAGCCCTGGTCGTGGCTCTGCTTTTGGGGTGGCGGAGGGGAAACGCCTCTCTGGAGGGGCTGGGGTGCAGCACGGAGGGGAGGTGGCCTCTGCTGAGACCACCCTGCCTTGTGCAGGCTGGGAGGTCTCCCGGTGGGTGTCATCGCTGTTGAGACCCGCACCGTGGAGGTGACGGTACCCGCGGACCCCGCCAACCCGGAGTCGGAGGCGAAGGTGCGTGGGGAGACCTGCGTTCAGCCGAGTGGCTGAGGAGGAGCCTGGAGGGGAGAGCAGGGGAGCAAGCTGAGTGTAATCCTTTGGCGTGTCTTGATTTTCCTTAGAGATGTGAAACCAAGGGTGCTCGGTCACTTTGTTTTCTTCCAGCTCTTGCACACCACGTGCCACGAGTCTGCCAGGGCAGTGTGCTGGAAGCGCTGGCACCGCTCCTAGCGCTGCTGCTTGCCATCTTTTGCAGATAATCCAGCAGGCCGGGCAGGTCTGGTTTCCTGATTCTGCTTTTAAAACAGCCCAGGCTATTCGGGACTTCAACCGGGAGCATCTCCCGCTGATAATCTTTGCCAACTGGCGAGGCTTCTCCAGCGGCATGAAAGGTACCTGTGCCTGGGCTGCCCAGCCCCCCGTGCTGTGACATTCTGCCGGCACTGCTGCCACCCCACGGGTCCTGGGCTGCGCCAGCCTACCAGGATCCTGCCCGCACCACGCCGAGACGCGGGCTTGGGCTGGGGAGGTGATGGGGCGTTGCCAGGAGCCGGGTCCCGGGGCTTGGTGGCTTCCTGCTGGGCTGGTTTTGGGGTGCTTGTTTGGTTTCTCTAATGGAGAAGGTGGTTTTGGGCTGCTAGGAGGAGGCAAAGGGCTGGTTTTGGGGTGCTTATTTGGTCTCTCTAATGGAGAAGGCAGCTTTGGGCTACTAGGAGGCGGCAAAGGGCACACCCGGCCACTAAATCCCTTTTGGCTTTCAGACATGTACGACCAAATGCTGAAGTTCGGCGCCTTCATTGTCGACAGCCTCCGGGATTTTAAGCAGCCTGTCCTGGTGTACATCCCACCGCACGCGGAGCTGCGCGGAGGCTCCTGGGTGGTCATCGACTCCACCATCAACCCCCTGTACGTGGAGCTCTACGCGGACAAGGAGAGCAGGTCAGCGTCCAGAAAACACGTGTGGAGATGTGAGAGCCCGTGCCTGGGGTCTGCAGAGTCGTAGTCCTGCTGGCGGAGACCTCCAGTCACTTGAGATGGGCGTTGTGTTTTTTACCCTTGAGTTAATCAAAGCCATCAGCTGAAAGTTCTGGGGCTCTTTGAGACCGGCGTGGCAGGTATCTCCTTGGGGAGATCCTGCGTCCAGCGAAGGCTGCAGGCCAGTCAGACATGGTTCTGGGGGTCAGGAGGCCTTTTCTCTAACCTGAATTAACACGTTGGAGCAAGCTGTAAGGAATGGGAGGATAGACAGGAATCCTAGATTGAAAACAAAACCCTTTTAGGTTTTCTGTCCCCCTAATTCTTCGAAGAGAGAGTTGCCTGGACCTCTTGTCCCGGGATTTATTCTCCTGCGCAGATCAGTCCCTAACTTACCAAACTTTCCTTCCAGGGGGGGCATTTTGGAGCCTGGAGGAACAGTGGAGATCAAATTCAGGAAAAAAGATTTGGTGAAGACCATGAGAAGGATCGATTCAGTGTGTGCCAAGCTCGTTGAGCAGCTGGGTAAGGGAAGGGTGTTCTGACTTAATTGGGCACTGGTCATGGTGAGTTAAAACACGAGGCTCAAACAGCCCAGTGGCAACCAGGAAATCCTTCAGTGCTCCTCTGGGAAAATTCTGTGTGGCTTTTCTGAGGGGGGAGCCTGCCAAGAGGATGTGGTGGTGCTTTAAAACACCTGGATCTCCTGGGGGGGGGGGGTGGTCCATAAACGGTGCTGGACTTTTCTCCCGTGCTCTGAGATCGAGAATGGTGACAGCCACGCTGATCAGTGCCCGGTGAGATGCCGCTCAGCCTTTAACACGCCGGGGCTCCTCTCGCCCTGTGACCTGCCTGCAGGTGGTGGTCCCACAAAGTCCCTGCGAATGCCACCTCCCGCCTCTCTCGTGGCAGGGCCGAACACGGTGCAGCCCCTCCGTGGCCTTGGCCCTCCATGGCCGGGGTGTAAATGCACCGAAGCGAAGGGCCGTGACGCCGGGTGCCGCGTTTCCTGGTGGGGGTGGCTGATGTAGGAGCGCGGAGCGGAGCCCACCCCCCGCAGCGGCCTGTGGGCTCCCTCCGAGGGGTGACGGGTGGGCTGCTCAGCCTGGCGTGTCCCACAGGGACCCCCGAGCTGTCCGAGGCGCAGCGCAGCGACCTGGAGAAGCAGCTCAAGGCCCGGGAGGAGCTCCTCCTGCCCATGTACTACCAGGTGGCTGTGCGCTTCGCCGACCTGCACGACACCCCGGGGCGCATGCAGGAGAAGGGCGTCATCACGGTGAGCCGGGGCGGCGGCGGGAGGGGGCTCCAGGCGGTGGGTTTTGCAGCAGCATGGAGACAGGAGGCAAAATCCCCTCCCGAGGGGCTGGGCTGCAGCTCAACGTCCTCCCCGGGCGCCGCTCCCTGCCGCAGCCCAGCAGAGCTGCCTTCAAACCTGCTGCCCGCCAGCTCCCCTTCTTTCTGCGGAGGCAAACCTGGGCTGCGTCCCCGTTCCTGCAGGACATCCTGGAGTGGAGGAACGCCCGCTCCTTCCTCTACTGGCGGCTGCGCCGGCTGCTGCTGGAGGAGGTGGCGAAGGCGGAGGTGCTGAAGGCCAACGGCGAGCTGAGCCACGTTCACATCCAGTCCATGCTGCGACGCTGGTTCATGGAGACAGAAGGAACCACGAAGGTAGCCCCGACCCCGGCTCCCCGCGGCATCCCTGCGGCCAGGGGGTCCCCGAGGGCTGTCACCCTGCTGCCCCGTCACTCAGCCACTTCGTTGGTGCCTCCCCGAGGGCTTGAACATGCGACGTTCTGCAGCCCGCGCTGGGGTGGGCGGCCGAGCAGCGCCGGGGCCGTCTCTTCAAGTCGGGTGACCTCAGTTGGGTGCTGGTGCTCGAATAAACATTTTCTACCATCAGATAAAACTTCCCAGGGCAGAAGGAAGATTTGGGGCCTTTGCATTTGAGCTGCTCTCAAATGCAGGTGCCGTGACACAACATCGCTCTGTCAGTCTTGTGCTTGCTGAGCTGGGAAGTGAGGGCGTGCAAAGGAAACACATTTTCCCTTAACTTTTTACATCTTAAACAATCCATCAAGGTTTCCTGAGTTTCAATTTCCAGATCAAGCCTTTTACCCAGTGGCTGTTACATGGGAGGGACGGGGAGTGTGATGTGCTGTGTCATGTGTGCAGGACTGAGAAGACAAAACCAGGAAAAAGAATTTTTTTCACGGGAGGAGAAAGCTGGAGGCCGCAGCAGAAAGGGGGGAGCTCGGGCTGTGTGCGGGGAGCAGGACCCCCTGCCCATGGTGCTGCTCCCCCCAGGGCTACCTCTGGGACAACAACCAGGTGGTGGTGGAGTGGCTGGAGAAGCAGCTGCGGGAGGATGACGGCACCCAGTCGGCCATCCGGGAGAACATCAAGTACCTGAAGCGGGACTATGTGCTCAAGCACGTCCAGAGGTGAGCGCGGCGGGAGCCGGGATGCGCAGGGCGAGGCCAGCCCCTGGGCTGGGGAGATGGAGCAGCTCTTGTTCCACCTCCGAGGCAGCTGCCCCTCTCCCCTCTTGCCTTGCAGCTTGGTCCAGGCCAACCCCGAGGTGGCCGTGGACTGCATCATCCAGATGGCCCAGCACGTCACCCGCGCCCAGAAGGCCCAGCTCGCCCGGCTCCTGTCAGCCGTGGGTGACGACGGCCCACCTTGAGCTGGGGGTGGGCAGGGGGGGGCACCAGGACACGCTGCTGCTGCTCAGAGGCCAGACCTCCCCTCCCCACCCAGTTCCTCAGCCCCTGAGCTGGAGCCTTGGGCTTGTACTTGCCTAAATAAATAAGTCAGCGTTTATACGGTCTTGCCACCTGTGCAGCGTCCCCTCTGGCGCTGGGTGCGTTGGTCAGAGGGGCAGCTTGGCAGAAGATAAAACTTGTCCCGAGCGAAGTCTGGTGCAGAAGTTTGGCTTTAAAAAGATTCTAAAAATCTTTCACTGTGTTTTAATCGCAAGCCCTGGCCTTAAACTTTAAAACAAGCACCACGAGACTGGTCAGAGCGGGAGGTACAAACCGCCCGGCCCAGGCACCCCAGGGGAGAGGGACGCAGGCGGAGGGTCCGTACAGCCGTGTGGAAGCGGGCCAGGCACTGGCACGAGGAAGTGTAACCCTGCTTAAGAAGCAGTCTCCGACTGATGGTTTATAATAAACTCAGGAACTGTGAGTTGGTCTCATTCTTCCCCTTGCTGGGGAGCCATTGGTAAACGTGACTAGGAGGAGCTGGTAGCCCAGAGGAGGCATCAGCGAGCCACGATGGGAGCTGTTCCAGGGGGAGCATCGATGGATCCACCACGGTTTGAGTGACCCGACTGTTCCTCTTGCCCATCTCGTGTCCTTCCCTGCTCCCGCCGCAGCTCCTTCGGGTGTTTTCCGCCCGTGGCTGCTGCGGAGGATGGAGAGGAGGGAGGACGTGGCTCGCAGTGACCCGGTTCCTCCGCTGAGGCGGGGTGAGCTCTGGCTGCTCGGCCCTGTCCCCTGCTCCACCTTGGCTCACGGCGGGGGACGCTGAGCGTGTCCTCGCCGGTGCCTCGCGTCGCTTCGCCGAGTGGCGGGGGAAGGTGTCGGACACCTGGGTCGAGGCAGGCTGTGGAGATGTTGGGCACCTCCCTGCTCCTGCCTGGGCTGGGGGGGTCCCGCCCGGGTCTGCGGGTGGTCTCCCTGTCCTGGGGAGGGGGGGGGAAGGGCCTGATGAGATGATTCTGGTTTCAAAGGTGTCACTGCACTTTATCAGGGAAGGGGGTTGGCTGATGCTCACTGCATGGGAGCCAAACCGCCCCCAAAGCGCGCGCAGCTCTGCAGGAAGCTTTCCTGACCTCTCCTCCTTTTGCCAACATCTAAACGTGTGGGTCTGAGCCGCCTCGGCCCCTGTGCAGCCTCCACCCCACAGAGGGCAGCTCCTGCCAAGGCCTCTCCCTGAGCCAGAGCTGGGGATGCTCAGGGACGGGCCAACAGCCCCCAGAAAGGTTCGTACCTGTAAGCTCTTGTTCTCCTGGAGGATTTGTGCCAGGGACAAGCCCTCGCCATGGCCGTGGTGTTGTGCCTGCGCTGGCCCCAGAGCCGGGGGGAAGCTGCTCTTTGAGTCGGGCCCTTGCTTCCACTTGCAGACGGGTGCTACAGACACTTTGTGTACCGGCGAGATGCTCTTCTGGCCGCGGTGGCACAGCAACACCCAAGTCCGATTGGAGCGGAGGGCCTGGAGGCGGCGGCTGCCGTCACACACGTCTGAGCTGGGTCCGTTTGTCCCCCTCCGGAACCTGCGCGAAGCTCTTCCCTCGCTGGGGTGGATTTCCAGCAGCAGATGCCTGGGAACTGCTGTTGAAGGCCGAGGTGCAGGGCAGGGCAGAGGGGTGGTAACGCAGCACAGCGAGAATGACCCAGGCTTAGCGCTAAGACATATTTATTTAAAAAAAAAAAAAGACATCACAGATGACGCCAGTCCCATCAAACGATCAATAATCACATTTGTCCTTGAGCAATAAATTAGGCGGCGGAGCAGCGTGCCCTGGTGGGAGATGCAGGCACAGGCGTTTTCCAGTCCCTGATTTTCAGTGGGGGGGGTTCCAGCGTCCCGCACCCCCGCGGGGTTTTCAGTCCATGGAGCGAAGCTGGAGCCACGTTCTGCCCCAGCCGGGCTCTGCGGGGTGGGGGGAGCCGGCGAGCACGGGGGTACAACGGCGGGAACCCACAGGAACAGGCAGAACACGAGAGAGAAATATCACTTCGTGGTCACAGAGGTGTAAGTAAGTAAACTAAAGGCTAAATTCCGACATACAATTTCCTTTTTATATTTGCAGATGTTTCAGTGTGTTCTCTGCAATGTTGTGATACCAAGTATAAAGCAGGGTTTGAAAATTTAAACTACATTAGAATCAATTTGACTTGGTTAATTAGGAAAAACTATTATGAATCGGTACGGTCCAGCTACAATATTTGGTCTCTGATTTTTTTTTTTTAAAAAAAACCCCATGAGTTTCACAGTATCAAAAGTGCTTATTTAAAAGAAATGTAGTGTAACAACAGTGATTAAAATTGTTTCATTTTTGATTATGAATAATTTAGCGGGTGTAAAACGGGTTACTGCAGCATTTTAAAAAATTGAACAGTGCTCAGTTTACATAATTTCTCTTCATGACAATAAATATAAATAAATTTACAAATAGTAATACTGCCTAGCACAAGAATAGACAGAAGCACAATACACAAGACTATAAACAAATCTAATCTTTTTATAAAAAAATCCTAAAAATAGGCGTAATTCCTAAAATCTTCTAGCCAGTGATCAGTTTAACAATTCAGGAGTACCGCCTCCTTCTTGGGGTGAGGACTTTGTTTTTAAACCTAGATGTAACAGTTGTCTGCTATGGGTCTGACTTCTCATTTTTTTTACTATTTTTTTTCTCCTTTTTTTCCTACCTCATAACAATAAATTAGCAATAGTTACGTCAGAAAGGTGTTAGTGGTGCAGGAGCCTCCAGAAACCGCGTGGGGTCTTTGTTCCATGGCGACAGTTATTTGGCAATTTAAGGAAAAAAGATCTACGCGGTACAGGATCAACCGTTTTGGACTCCGACTCGGTGCTGACCGGCCCGTTGGCTTCTCAGGAGGTGGTGGCCAAACAGCTTCCACATATAGTCCAGATCACAGTGTCGATGAAATGTATTTACCTTTAATCGGAGTATTTTTTAGCTCGGTTACATTCTAGTGACAGTTCCTGCAGACTGATGCCTTCCGGCTCCTTCCTGAGAGCTCACCAGTGCTGCAGCACAAGTGTCCGTGCCCCTTCCCCAGTCTTGCCCTGGGTGAAAGCGGTTCGACTAGTAGCAGTTTGATTTATTTTGGCATCACACGCTCTATCCTGGTAAACAGCCCCCACGTTCCACACGTCTGCAGGAGGAGCTTTTTTTTTTTTCTTTCTTTTTATTGCTTTCAGGTCGGATTTTAACAGCTGGGAGAAACAGTCCCCTGCGTCAGAGCTCCGTGGAGCGGTGCAGGACTCAGAGCAGAGCGATGGGTTTGTTGCCCTGGGGGTTCATGTACTGGGCGGCCGCCACGTTGTCCAGCGTGGTGTAAGTGGTGTAAAGGCCGGTGACCTGCACGTCTGCGAAGGAGCGGTCGCTGCCGCTGGACACCGGGGTGAGGCCGGGGGGGCCCAGGTCACAGTCCGAGAGGTGGAGCGGTGAGTTGCTGAAGGCACCCAGCGTGTCGAGGCTGAAGCTGTCGTCTTTCATTTCCTCCCATATGTTACCTTTAAAAAAAAATTAAATTCTGGTCACAGTGACACATCCAACCCACCCGGGCACTGTGTGTCCATAACTAAGGGCCTTCAGCCCCCGCTTAGGACCATTCCTGCCCGCAGATGCTACCAGCTGTAGCACAAAGAGAGTCTGTTCCCCCAAATCCCCCTGATTCCAGCAGGAGTCCAGACCTTTCCAGGCAGCATCCACCTCCCATGTGCTAACCAGAACCCCAGGGGCCACACTCGCCATCGCCACAAGGCAGGGAAGTTCTTTTACAGAAGGGGGAAACCGAGGCACAAATGGAGCTGTGGTTTCCCGGGGCAGAGGGATGTGGTGTCCCAGGTCCAGGGCCCCCCCCCACTCACAGCCAGCTCAGCGCCTGCCCTTGAACCATCTAGCAGAGGGCAGAAACGCCCTGGGCAAGGCAGGGAGGTCACGCTGCAGGGACCAGCACCAGGTTTGAGCTGTTCCATCCTGCCCCAGAGCATCCTGGTTCTATATTCAGTGATTCCCCTTTCTCCCTTACCTTGCAACGCAAAATCCATAATGCTTGGGTCGAGAGCGTCCACCTCGGTGCTCATGTCTGCCGTCACGTTCAGGAAGTCGGGAGGTGCCCGTCCCAGGGGGTGGTGGGGCAGGGGGCTGCGGCTCACGTCAGGCAGGGTGTGGAGAGGAGGCGTCTGCGCGGGCGCCGGCGAGTCAGGGGCGATGCGAGCCTGGGCCTGGATCTGGTGGTGCAGGGGGATGGACTGCAGCGAGAGCGTCATCACGGGCTGGGGCTGCAGCTGGGACACGGGCAGCCGGCCCTGGGCCGCTGCCAGGTGGTTCAGGGCCGAGACCTCCGGCTCTGCCTGTTTGCTGGGCCGCCTGCAGTGCTCGGGTCTGTCGGTGATCAGCTTGTCTAGCTCCTCTGCACAAGCAACACCCCGTCCCAAGGGAAAAAAAAAAAAAAGAGATAGTTTAGTCCATTTGTTCAAAGCGTTTCACAAATGAGCGCAGCCACATGCCTTTGCCCTAAAACTGAGGCAGCAGCGTCTGTCACCGGATGAGATGGAGCACAGAAGGCAGAGAGCAAAGAAACGCCCCCACTTCCCCACCCTTAGCCCTTACCCTCGTTGCCTTCCACGCTTACCCCTACCTGAGCTAAAGGAACGATCACACCAGACTTAGACAGGGCAACCAGGGCGCCACCGACGGCAGCTGACCCGCAGCTGCAGCACTGAGCATCCTCAGCAGGTCTCCGGCTCTTAGGGCTGCTCAGAATTCTGCTTGTGTCGCCAATAAGATTCAAACGAGAGGCTCCTGACAATTTCAGTGGCACTTTTGTTTTTAAGTAAAGGAGAATGTAGTTTATCCCTGATTGTATGTTACAGATTTTGCCAATATTGAACTCCTGAAAGCTTCAGCAACGCGTGTCTTTACTAAGAGTTTCTCATTCTTATTTATAAAGGGAGAGTTTCACAGAGGAGCCGGCAAACAAACTGCATTATAACGTGACGCTATTACACACTAACACTGGAGGCAGCATAACTCCTCAGGAGGCCTTGAACATGCTAGAGAGGTTAGCAAGGGGGAAAAGGACAAGCTGTTTTGAAGCTGGGGATGGATTTGAGCTGAGGGCCCCTGAAAAGAGCCGTCGGTTCTGTTACCTCCTCCTCTCATCGCCCTGTGATACAACCTCGGGGCAGCAGCAGTGACTTGGGTGTGGAGCGTGGGGTGTTTCAGCTCAAGGCTGTTGCGAGGCACAAGAGCTCTGCGCTAGCCAGCTCTGTTCCACAGAACTTATTTCTTAAAGATTCCCATGTTCCTGGTCAACCACCCCTTTGTCCCCTCGCCTCTCCTAGGCACAGCGAAAGCGTAACGCCAGCCCTACCCGGGTTGGCCATGCTCCTGTGAATAGCAGCTAAATCCTTCCGCTTCCACTTCTGCATCTCCTCTTCCATCTTGTCGATCTTGGCAGGGTTGAGAGCCCACAGGCACCCTTTGCGCGAGGTGCCGCTCATCTTGTTCTCCACCTTCTCAAAACACTTATTCAGAGACAGGTTGTGGCGCACAGAGTTCTTCCAGCCATCGGGGGCTGTCTGAAAGGTGCAGGAGGATGTTTTAGTGAAATAAGCCACGAGTAAAGATTCGGAGGTGTTGAACTCCCCCCCCTTCAGGCGGACACGTACCTTGAAGTAGGGAAAGTGCTCCTTCATGAAGCTGTAGATCTCGCTCACTGGCAGGCTGCCTGTTTTGCTGTTCTTCAGTGCCATTGCAATCAGACAGCTGCAGGACAGAGAAATACAGGGAATAACAGACTGTGTGTCTGCTGAGCCCTCATGCCACCTTCTGGTCTAGCAACCTGGGGCCCGTCTCTTAAGACACAAAACAGCTGGCTGATGGTGGGATTACCCTCCTCAAACGCTCAGAAGTCACCCTGTGATCCTGCAGGTTTTACTCCCCTGTGTGATTACTCTACCCCTGTGCTGATGTCCAGGGAACAGTTTGCTTGTTCACTCCCGCTACCCCTCCGAGGCAGCTTCCACAGAACTCCTGGGCGGAAGATGGGACTTTTGTTCCCTTTGAAAGGAACCAAACGCTCTCGTGCTACCACACCCACAGTGTGAGAGTCAGCCCCACACAGGCTGGAGGTAAGAAGCTGTTCTGCTCTCTGCTCACCTATACGAATAGATGGGCTTGGGATAGTGCTTTGGCTGCAGTTCCTGGGCAGAGTGAGGAGCCAAGCGTGGCTGAGCGTAGTGTGGCTGAGTCCCGTAGGGCGTGTTGTAGATTGCTGCTGGGTTACACTGTATGCAGAAGGAAAACCAGGAAAACGTCAGGTGCAAAACGTCCACGGGTATGGAGGTTTAGGGATATTTTACGGTTTTTCTTTTAAAAGGGTTTAGACATGATCTTGGCGGGTATTTCAAGACACGGACCACAAGAAAATAAGGGTACCTGTGGTGTGTTCTGCGCCAGGGCAAACACTTGCTGCGAATGAGGAGGAGGAAAGAGTTGTTGCTGTGTTTGTAAACTGGGAGATGGCTGCCCACCTACAGCGTACTGGCTCATCTGCTGAGATAAAGACAGCAGACGTGTCAGTCTGGAAACTACCAACGTCTTTTCCTAAGAAGTGTTGCAGTAATAAGCCACCGAGGCCTGCTCTTACATTTGCTCCGTGTGTTGAAATAGAATTCAGCCCCAGGATTCCCTGTGGCAGGCTGGCCTGGACATGAATCATTGCTCCAGGTGCGCCTGTCGAGTGCATGTTGCCTGCCACAGGACCTGTTTTGGAGAAAGCAAAGGCAAAGAATGTTCACGTGAAAGTACACTGCAGAAAAGAGAGCTGACATTTATTTTTAATAGACGCAGTTGAAGGCAGCTAAGCTCTGGAGTGGATAATCACATCTCTCTGTGGCTTTCCATCCCAAAAGAACCCAGAGCATTTCACAAACGGCACAGATGACATCAGCTGCTTCTAAAACTTGTTATGCAGGGAATGAAAGATGACAGCTGTTTAACAGTCCACAGCGGTGTTACAGACACAGCATCTTACAAAAGGAAAAGAAACATATTCAGCACTATCTGTACCCCAGAAGGATTTCTGCTCTAAAGCGAGCGGGATGATACACTGAGGTCTCTCAGCAGAATGCCTTAGGGAACAAGTGTGTTTACCTAAAGGGTGTTCACAAAGGAAAGAAAGGCATTCAGTGAACATGTGCTGTAAGTCTATATGAAGCAAACAGGGATGGGGCAAATGAGATGCTCTTCATTTTATCAGTGTTGAAACAAACAAGAAAAACTAATTACCTAATTTCAAAGCTGTTGAAAGCCTCTGAAATGCAAAGTCTTAAATACCTTGGCCCAAGTTCACGCAACAAGGCACCCGCAACTGCACAGAGCAGAAAGGCCAATCGGATGCTAAGATCTCTGTTGTCACTGCTAGGGTGCTCTGCCTCTTGACGTGAAGGAAATGTATCAGCAACAGCCTTATCAGAAGACAACAGGCTCCAGGTCTTCTGACAGGAAGCAAAATGCACTTAAAAGGAATCTACTAAGAGGAAAGCTAGCCTGGGGACGGTGGGGGGGAGGAAGAAAGGCCGTGTGGTTCAAAGAGCAGTTATTTAACATCCTCGCAGTTTACCTGTCTGTTGTAGCATGGCGTTCTGGGCAGCAAGGCTAAAATCCATTCTTCCACTGGCCATCTGTTGTAACCGAGGAACATCAACAGATGTCAGCCACGACAAGGACTGTAAGTCACTGGGGAGGTCATCTTCACTCAGCTGGGAGGGGTCAGAAGCTAAGAGTCTGCAAAACAGCACGAAAGGTTAGCAGAGAGCGGGGATGCTGCTGCACTGCCCCTGGTAAGAGGGGAGATGACTGGGATGCCGAAGCTCACGTAGGTCAGCGGGGAAAACACGTCAGGCTGGAATTGAGTTTGCAGAATTCAGGCACGACCTTTGGTTTCACAGCTGGCTGGTTACTGTTGCCCTTCACCTCGTCGTGTGGTCCTTGGTACGGCTGGAAACATTTTGGTTAAGAAAACTTCCTGTGCAGTATTGGTAGGGGAAGAAGGCATAAGAACCTGGAAGAGAAACTGCCTAGAAACAAAACCAGAGCTGATTCATTATTTTCACATTTGTCAGAAATTTGCACTTGCTTGGCCTTGATGTAGAAGAAACCTGCCAGGACTTTTTACTCTGATAATTTTGCATTAACCCTGAAATCCCGTGACCAGCAGCCTTGGAGGGAGTTTCTGTGCCCCACTCCTCAAGGACCCGTGTGCTGGCTGCACCACCTCGAGGGGGGCTCTCCCCAGGCACCGCATCCCGCCGCCGCGGACGGATCAGCGGAGAGTTGCTTCACGAACAAAACTCTACAGGATGATCTCTTTCCATTCAGACACCTGAAGTTCCTGATACTTAACAAGGAACCTTTTAACAAGGGCGCAATTTCTTAGGCAGTTTTGGACATACTAAGTGATCAGAATGAAAAGCTGGTGGCTGAACGCACGGTAACGCCCAGCCTGCCTTTAGCAACAAAACTGAGGCATGACAACGACAGGCTGGTTTTGGTTTGAAGCTCTGGTTTTGGTACGTTCTTCATGCTCCATCCCACCTGCTTTGTTTTGCTTCTGATCGAGTGTGTGGTACAAAACTGAAATATTGAAATATATTTACAGTACTCAAAGATTCCCGTGTGGTCAAAAACTCTCAATTAAAGTCACTAAAAGAGCTATCACAAATAAAGGGCTAAATTAATTTTACTAATATTAAATGGTATTACACAAGTCACGGGTATCTCGAGGAGTAAAGCATTAATTAGAGCATGTCGGGAAGTTATCATTAGATACCCAGGGTAAATCCAAAGGGATTCAGGACCAGGGAAACATCTTTCTTATTTCAGAAGAACGTAGTTTAGTTGGATGTAGTTGCTTTTGCTTTCAAAACAAAGGTTTTAAAGAGCTCTCTCATAGATGTGCTGAAGCCAGCTGCGTGGCACTAATGCGCGTTCATTGCCAAATGACGATGCAGAAGCCTTAAATAAATCTGGTCTCTTGCTAAAGCATCTTTTATGTTTTACACGATTCTAAATCAGCTTAAAAGAACAAGGCAGGACTCTAGTGCCTGGCTGCCCAGGAGCTTTCAGCTCCTCTATTCATGATTTCCAGAAACACGTATCAAAGTTCCCTAAACTATTATCTTGGGAGATCTTTAAAGCAGAATGTAATTTATTTGTTTGTAAAAGGATTTTGAAAAGATGAAAAGGAAAAAAAAAAAAAAAAAAACAACCCAAAACACAACACCTGACCAGGAGCCAAAAGCTCAAATCCTGGCCAAAAAACAACTTCAAATCTCTCTCCCAGCCTACCCTGTTTTCTCTCTCCTACTGTAGTTATAGTGCAATAATTAGCATTGCCATGGTTACCGCTGTTCAGTTATTTTGTGAGGCCTGGGACTTAAATACAGAAAAAGACTATCAGGTGATGGCTCTCCCGGCCCCGAGATTGGCTGGATTGGAAGTAAACAAGAGCATTAAATGATTTGAAAACTGGGCAGGCTCATGTCGTTTGCAACAGTTGGGCCCATTCATGGGAAGCCGATAACCCATTGTGCGGCCAACGACTGCTGCCCGGTGGCACGTGGCCTCGATTGTTTTTGAGATTCTTGCTTAATTGTTTTTCCCCCCCCACTCCCCCTCCTCCTTTTTACAAACTTCACATTAATCTGGCTGAATGACAGCCGACACACAACACACATCCACATGCCATCTGGCACCCCCAGTCCCTGCCAGTCCTCGCAGACAAGTCAGCTCCTTCAACAAATAACGGGGTCAGATGGGCGGCGAGGGTCAGCGCCCACTGCACACGCCTCCTGTCAGGCCATGAATCCGCCACATGCCCTCGCCGCTCCTCCGCACGGGACGAGCCTCGCCGCACCGCGGGACTCGCCGGGGGGCTCCGCAGCCTTCCCCTGGCTTTAGTTTTGGGGGGAAAAACAAGGGCGTCTGCTTCCCGCTCAGCCCCGGTGCCCTCATGCTGGTGCTCTCTCCAGGCGTGGCAGCAACTGGCCGTACCCTGGGCACGGCTGGATGTGGCTTCGGGAGCTCGAGCTACGACTCTGCTCCTCGGGCGGCCTTCGCCGCTCTGCAGCCTCGGGGTTCAGAACCTCCACGCGCCCTCCCTCTCGCCAGGCATCCAAGGCGGGGGAAAGGAAGGCGACTGAACTTTTCAGTGGATGCAGCCGTCATCAGGCTCCATCTTAAACAGATGTGAAGACGCAGTAATACGTAACAGCGAGACAAGCGTGTTGTCTTTTTCCAAGACAAGGCTGTTTCCTTCCCTTCCTCATCCTCACATGGCACGGCTCTTTGAATTTGAGCTTACGGTTCTCTTAAAATCACCTCTGGCTGTTCACTTACACATTTTTTTTAAACAGATTTGTTAGTTGTCAGAACAACTATTTCCATTAATAACGGGGAAAAAGGTGTATTTAATCGGAATAAAATATTTCACATTTAAGGATTATTCTTCGGGTTGTCTTCAAGACCAATGTTGAAATTTCATAGATCTTAAAGAAGGTGAAACCCCCTTACAGCATGCCCGTTGCTGTCTGACTGAGGTGTTTTAAATGCCCAGATATATTCTGCGGCGTAAAACCAGCTTATCTGACAGCACGCAGGCTCAGTGTGGGTCCTGCTTGTAGTGAAAAAAACGCTCATCTAACTGCCCCTGGAAAGAGAGCTATACCTAATGTTTTAATTTTACAGGGTTCAATCTTCCTGGCCTGAAAGAGCTACAAATATCGAAGTACATACTGTAATACCATGTGTGCTTTGATTCTCTTCCCCTCCACCACCCTTTTTTCGTCTCACGTTTGAGGGTAAACTTCAGGAGTCAGAGATCCTGTCTTTAGATGGGTGTTCACAGCCCCTGGCACAATGGGGCACTGTAGTAAAAGCAGCCATTTCCTTTCAATGCATGTAAATGAGATAAATAGTGATACGCTATAATTAATGCACGCTACTGAAAACGTCCCCAGCTGCACATTCCCCAGGGCCGTCTGGTACAGACGGCTGAACTACTAAACCCCTACGAAGAAAAGGTTACAGTCACACCAAACGTGTTGCAAACATGATATTATTTTTAAAAGGTGCGGTGAAATGACGCAACTCCGTTTCCCCCCCCCCTTCCCCTCTCCTTTCAAATCTCTGCAGGAAAACACCCCTCTGTTTCTATGTGTTTCTATCCTAAAGGCACCCGTGTTAGTGCGGATCCACGTGACGCTGTGGACGTGTGTCTTGGTTGTCTGTGAAAGTGCCCCGAGAGCTGTGATGGGTGATACAGAAACGCTGCGTGGCGTCTTAGTCTTTGTTTTCTGCTCCATCATGCAGTGCCCAAAATAGTTACTTCATCAGGGCAATAGATCTTGGCCACCAGCCAGCCCCCGTGAAGTTTAATCTTCCAGAATCAGGAAAAAAAAAACCCCAAACCAACTTTCCAGATCTCCTGATACTGAGCTCCAGATTTTCCTGCCTGCAGTCACCAAGAAATCAGACTCCTGCACATCTGACCCAGCCCACTAGAGCCCGTCAGCAGGGCAAAATGATCTGTTAGACATACCTGAAGATATCTCTACTTTTTTTTCCCCGTCAAATACATACTGCTGGCACAACAGCTAGCTAGATGGAATGAAATTCATCCCTGGCATGACCTCGCGGGAATGTGCAACCAACATCTGGGCTGAATGTGAATCTATATCCACAGATCTAGCTTTACCATCGTTCCTCACACTGAGCTGTTCTAATGAGCTGGACCTAAGGTAGTTCATCACCGCAGAAACTGCTGTCAAGGTCAACTATCCACTTCTACACCTGCAAACGCCACTGTATGATGAATTTCTCACCAGAGGCTGTAGGAACCATCTCTTCAACAGTGTCTCTGAACAGTCTGCCAAACAAGTTTTTTAAGGCTGAAGGAAAGCTCGGCAATGACAAGCATACCTGAAGATATTTCATCTCCAGATAGGTTAGCCAATACCTGGGGATTCCAGTTCATGATTTGGCATGCAGAGTTCCAGATTTCTATGCATATTGAACCATTCACACTTCAAGGACCCTGTCTGCTTGCTTGCTCTGGAGTCTGTCCCCGAGGATACAAAGCACTCAAACTGGTTGATGTTGTAGGGCGAATCTAATCCTAGAGCGCATCATCGCCTCCATTCTGAGCAAAGTCAGACCAAAACACTGTGGTTGCATTTGGCATATTCACCTTCAACCGTAGATTTAAGATGTCTCTCACTCAGTGGACAAGTTTTATTACCATTGCCAGCACTGACACCTTTTTGTTTGTGCTTAAGTAATACAACTGTTCAACAAGTAGGAGCAATCAGGGGTGATAAATTCTCAATTAGCTGTTTGCAATGGTTTATCCAGTGTGAGTGACAATTGAGCAGGAAGAGTCCTAAGAAAACCTCTTCTTGAAGTGGTGATGAGAAACTGTTTTATGTTTGGTAACTCTTCAGCTGTTTCCACAGTGAGAAGTATTCTCTGTTTTACTGAAGGAGCCAACGTCACCGTCTCCTTTTGCTCCTCACTCCACCCACTCTGCTCCTTCCCTCTCTGCGCTTCTCTTGCCATCTTCCTCCCTTGCAGGTGCTTCTCCCCTCACTAGGTTCTGTTTTCCACACTCACAGCTAACCAGCCTCTCTCCTCTCTTGCTTCAGCCAGCTGCTCTCACTGCTGCTTTCCATCTGTGGTTCCTCTTTGCCTCTTGAAGTCACAACCCCTATCCACTCCCAAACCACCAGCTCGCCTTTCTCCTCCCTGTCTTCAAGTTCTTTGAATAAGTTCTGGCCTTGCTGGAAATAAGAACAGAAATTAGGCAGCTTTCCAGGGACAACCAGAAAGTCCCTCCTCAGCTGCAGCTCAAAAAACTTTGGATTACAGGAACCAAAACTAGTGAGGAAAAAGCAAATAACACGATTACCCTGTCAGGTGTTGCTGTTCTCCTTTCCTTACACCATGGTTCAGAAGGGAAGAGGATGCTCCAAAAACCTTCTGCAATGGTACTTAGCGCTAACAGAACAGGCTACAGATGTGCTCCTGGAGACCTTTATACACTTCAGCTCCGGGTTTCACAACGCCTCATTACATCATTTTGGTATGAGGTGAAGGGAAACTGAATTACAAGTGACCTACATGATTTGCTTAAGCCTGAGAGGAAGTTAGCAGCAGTGTCAGCACTGCGCTCCCAGCCACTCGCTCCCTGCTGTGCCTTACCCACAGAACCATCCCTAGGTTTGGATTTGCCAAATGCAAGCCAGTATCTGCAATCTGTTTTGTTAAAAAAAAAAAAAAAAACCCACAAAAAAACCCCATACCAAAACAAAACCTGTGACTAATGGCCAAATAAGCCTCACCTCGATGCAAAAATGTGTTGAAGTACCTGGCACTACTGGAATGTTTTCTCTAAAAACCAGTACCTGGAAAGCTATTTTTTTCCTTTAACATTGCTTCAGGTGCTGTTTATTAGCACTGATTTACTTGCCTGGGATCTTGTGTAGTTATTTACTCCAGTGTAAAAGGGATTGAAAATATTTTGTTTTGCACTGTTTTAAGAACACGTCTGGCTTGCTGTCTGCAAGAGCACGTCAGCAATTCTGCTGTCTGCCCATATGAGACTTCTTAAATGAGTAAAATAAGAGTAGGGTGCCCTGAGCATCTCAGATCTCACAGGAAGGCTGGAAAAGTCCACGCTTCTTTTCTGCTTCCTTGTTTTGAAGGGGAAGTCGAGCGCCTTGTTTTGAGGTAAGACATGAACCCTGTTCTGGTTTCATTGGAGGCAGACGAGCCTGAAGCCTGTAAGATATCGCCCAGGTACAAACCAGTCCTCCCCATCTCTGCTTGTAACTGCAAGACAATTTGAGGAGCAAGGGCCACAATTTTTGATTAATACCGATTAACACATTTCAGGAACTGCATAGGAAAGAGTTGAGCTAATCCACTTAAATCAATCCACAGTGGCCTGAGTTTGACTGATTCCTAGGAGGTTTCTCACATTTTTTTGAAAGAATGAAGCAACTACTGTGATGAAATTCCTCCGACACATCGAGTCATTATCTCACTCCCTGTCAGACACACATGGTGTCAAGGGAATGGACACTGACATTTTCTTCAGGAACAATTACGGTTTTGTTAGTTATGCATTTGTAACCCTTTGTCTGCAGAAATTTCCTTCGTGCAAACGCCCAGACCCCGTCCATCTCCAGAGGTGACAGTCAGGAGCCCTGAGCTGTAGCTCGCTCTCCAGAAACCAAAGTGCAAAACCAGATATGAGACTACTGCTTAGGGCAGCTAACATGTGCCGTGTGTCATCAAGAGAAAGGCTTTCCACATTTTTCACCGCTGTAATGCAGTCACGTCTGGAATGTATGGAATAATGAAATACAGCCATTGCATGTTTATGTGCCTACGCTTCTTAATATGATTTTTTGCTAAACTAGGCTAGCGTAAAGTAATTAGTACCCAAAAAAAATTAATCAGACTGTCTAATCACCTGATGAATATAGACCAAGTTTTTAAGAACCAGAGGGACAGTTAAAATGGGGTGAGGGAGGATGTAGCCTACTAATATGTAATATTGAAAAACAACTTTTGATCCAAAAAAAAAAAAAATCTATCTAAAACCAAATTCCTGCTTAACGTGTATAGAAAATGCATTGCAAGGCCTTCAAAATACTACATAAGGCTTCTATCAACTGGAAATACATAGTGATATCAAAAAGTAGAAACGTGGTCCGTACACAAAATATTGAGCTGCAAAACATGAAGATAGTTTATCTTGTTGATCTAGGGTTAGCTTTACATCTTAAGTTATGTTATTTCTTCAAATAGAATTACATATTTCAGTTATTTCCTTCAAAATACAGATGCCACATTTTTACCCAGGGCGATGATTTGATTCCTTAAATTTGGATTTTCACATATGCCAAATAATCCATAGCAAGTTTACTCTTTGCGTCCCTTCTAATGGCCAGTTTTTCATGTCACAATTTATTGTATGATGTGTAGTAAACCACGCTTAACTGTACCTAGTTAGGGAAGGGGATAATCCCTGAGAAAAATAAGCACGCTGCTGCATTTGAAACCCCAAAACGTTGAATTAGGATAATTATTGAGCCTTTTTTAGGAGAGAAATTAAGGTCTGTAAGTGTTTTTAGTCTTAGTCCAGGCCCACCTTGGCCTCACATCTGCCTCCCTGGGGTTTCTACTGCTCAAGACCTGCAGGTTAAATCTGATTCTGCAACTTCTGTGTGCCGCAGTGGATCTTGGACTTCTCTTGCACCAGTTATGTATGTCAAATCAAATCAGACTGCAAAAGGATAGGTTGCAGATTTCAATTCAAAACCCTGCGTTCATGGGCTGAACCTCATTTCTCAGAGATCACCTCCAAGCCCACCAAATGCCATGGTTTAGTAGCCTTTGAGTTGGCTCCTATAATTTATCACCATTTACATGGCTTTGTGCTGAAATAACCGCAAGAGAACCACTGCATAGTAAACTTGTAGTCTGCCTATCGCTTTGATTTAAACATCAAAATATTTATGCTAAAACGTACTGTTAGATTGTTAATTATAATTAACAAGAATGCAGTGTTAAGGGTTAAAAAAAATCCCAGTGTGTCACAATTCCCTGCTTTTATCCCCTGAAATGTAAAAAGAACTCATTAGAAACATTTGCCTCTACTACAGTTATGAAAATATTGAAGGTAGTGGTATTTTCTTCAGCAGAGTGAGAGGCATCTGCTAATAGGAAGTATGATTTTTTGCTAGCCAGGCAGTGACAGCGCCATAAAAACTTAGGTATCAGAGAAGTTGTGATGGCCCTTAATCATTCCCAGACAGCATGATGGTTTATATCCCACAGCTGCATTGGTGGAAGGGATATTTGTCTAAAATCATTTTACTACGGTGCAAACAGTCCCTGGACTTTGCATAGCAGTCTGATCCCCATCACTGCTCTATGTGCTACATCAAATTCCCTACAGATTGCTTTGGATCCACAGAATTCACAGATCTGTTAAAATCAGGGATTTTTTTTTTCCTTGTCCATTAAAAAAAAAAAAGTAAAAAATCCCATAGTTTCAAACTGTAAGCATAAGCTGGATGAAAACTTATTGGTCTTTGCTGGTTTGATCCCCTGCTTCCACGCCCACGTGCTCCCTCCCTTTTCAGTGTTTCCTCCTGCACTCTCGCAGGAAAGCCTGGTCTCCTCCAAGTCCAACTGTCCCATTGAAAGATTCCAAGTGAGACAGAAGAGTATTCTCCGCACAGCCCCAGCCTCCCACTCACTAATTGGAGGCCATTCCCCATTTTGTGGAGCCTTGATGCTCCCCCATGGAGAACTCGGGACTGTGGGTTCCAGTCTTGGACTGTGGTGACAGCAGGAGAGTAAACAGAGCTGATAGAATTTGACAGGTCTATTCTTTTCTTAAAATCATTCAGTCTAAAAGATTTTCTTTTACATAATCCAAAGTGTTTTCTCATGAAGTAGGACAAATACTGCTCTGCATTTATGGTGCAGTTCAGATTTTATGCATTTTTATCAGAATTTGCCACAATTAAATGAGGTCAAATAATTCATTTTAAAGCTGTGTTACAGAAATCACAAGTGGGTTAAAAACTTTAGAGAACTGGGATCTTTGAGTGCAAAATGTTTAGCAGAGAATTGAAAGTAGTTTTTTAAAAGCAGCTGATTCCTGAATAAAAGAAGAAACTCTTACAATTCCTTTACTGCCAGTAAGATAAATCCTATCTTTCTCCCCCCCCCCCCCCCCCCCCCCCCCCCCCCCCCCCCCCCC